CAACTCTTCGATAACTCCAATTTTAACTAATTTAAAGGTATTAAGAGCCCAATAAAGCTTGGCTTTTGTGTTTAGATGAGTTTTTAAAACAGCTAAACAGAGATTATATTTTGAATAATCAATTATACTTTCATTTTTTTCGACCATTCAACCATTCACATAGCTGTCAACAATTTTTTCAAAGGTTTAAACCGAAAAAAAATGAATGCTAATTTGCTAAGAAAATAATAAAAATTATTTAAAAAAATTCTTTTAAATTAAAAATACTTTTGATGCATGTACTGTACGTTACATTTTAATCGGTATAAAATTTAAACTCACGTATGATTATTAATTGACGGAAATTTGAATGTATTAACCATACGTACGATCAAAATTTAGTATCATTTTCGTACGTCCGTCTGAATCTATACTGCTGTACAGTACTACTTTACTGAATACCTGTGTATTTTAGGTTACGAAGTATCTTTGTTGTAGTAATCAAGGTTTATTGACTCTAAAATCAAGCACAAACAATAACTATCATATGTACGTCAGATAATGTGAAGTGGCGACATCATTCAGACACATCATAACATATAAATGTTTTTTTAAATCATCAACCTATAAACTCAAGGTACGTATGTGACCTATGCAATAATACGCAAACTAGCTGTTTAATTAGCGTAATTCATTCTTAAAAAATTGGCGAAAATGTTGGAGGTCAATATTATTTTATATTTGAATATATCTATATTTATTGACTACAAATGTTAATATCTAGTTATTTTAATTTTTAAATTACATAGCCAAATGGGAGAAAGACAAAGATGTAAAGGAATGTCGTAGATGCAAAAGGAAATTTAAATTATATATTAGAAGACATCATCTTTTTAAATGCATTATAAGATTTACTTATGAAGCATAACGCAAAAATTAGACGGTGTGGTCAAGTGGTGTGTAATCAGTGTTCTCCTACACGAGCCATGATGTCACCTGAACAAGTCGTCACTCCATCCGGAAAAAGTGAAACAAAGGAGTCTTTACAACGTGTATATAGTTCATGTGGTAAGTAAAAAATTATTTCTTGCGTGTTTTTTATTTGTCCGAATCGAACCCGAATCCGGTAGGCATGTGATAATAAATAAAATTCTTCGAAACAAACTTTTTGAGCACAAGGTTTATTAATTTTATGATACACAGATTTTAAGTAGCCTGCTCAATAAAGTAATTTTATTATTACAATAGTTTAATCATCGTTTCTTCTCTGAGTCTATATTAACGATTAATAAATGTTGTCTCTTGTTTAAAGCAATTTCCGATAAACGTTCCCATGAATATTATGAAGAAGCTAAGGAACGAATAGATAACGATGCGACAATTACGGTATCCGAGTCCCCAGATTTTCATGACTTATTTTGGGTTGAATTTGCAAGTGAACTTAAATGAAGACCGCTTGGATAGATATGCAGAAGAAATGTCTGAAATTCGATTACCTACTGTCACAAAATCTTAAATCTACCAATACAACTATTACTAATACCGAAACTATTGCGAGAAAATAAGAAAAAGCTAATCTTAAAACGCTTGTTCAAATCGAGCGCTCAATAAAAGTTGATCTTTGTTACATTTTAGACTGTATAGGTCTGTATCTACTACTATAAGTTCTAATTTTGTATTAGTTATTTAATCATTATCATCTATTTAAAGTAATAAAAAATTCTTTTATTCATTTACTTTAAAAAACTATTCTGACAGGTATACAATGATACAAAAATTGAAATAATGTAATATTTAGAAGTATATCTCTAACCATTTTCTTTCCTTCGTCTCCAAGATTATTATCTTGTAAATTTAAATCTTTTTGAGAAGTGTTCTTACAAAGTGATGCTTTCTCTCCTCTCAATCCAAGATTATTATCACTAATATTTAAAGAGGTTAAGTGTTCTCATAAAGTGCAACAACTAATGCTTTTTCACCTTCTGGCCCAAGATCATTATGACAAGAACCAGAGAAAGCAATGAGTCGTTTTTACAAAGCCCATCTGATCCAAAATTATAATATGTCTGTAACTTGGATTTTTACAAAGACTTAAAGTTAGAGTGTTGTTGCGGCGAAGATAATCACTTAACATCTTGTAACCAATCTGACAGTAGTGAATACCTAAAAATTTTAGAAGTGTTTTTAGAAAGAGTCTCCAATAATGTTTTCAATTCTTTATTCTTAAGTTGAATTGATATAAGTTTCTCATCAATGTTCATTACTAATCCTTCTATTGACTAAGATCTAAGATTGAGATTGAAACATTCACGGAACAGACATAAATCTACAGAAATTACTACAGTGTTCTTAAACATAAGTTGATTAATTTTCTTCAATATATAAACATTTAAGATTTTTGCCTGTTCGAAGAAGCATTTTAATTAAAGAATGCTTAATTGCATATTCAAGCAATTCATCGTCGTCATAATTAGGACTAAGCCAATCTCTAACTCCAACATACAAGTACCGGTCGACAGCTGTAATATGACTCGTATATTCGAAAAACAAGTGGCTTTGGTTGACTTGGGAGCATGATTTCCAATGAAGCTTTCTCTTCAGAGTTTAATGTTGAAACGATATTTTTAGAGGTTTTTCGTCCGTAAACTTTATCCCCGGTTCACTCCACAGTATGGGTATAAGGATTCACATTTACAAAATAAATTCTTAAAATTGTTACAAAAATTATTAATGATTTATTATTTATGAAAATTTTACATGAAATTCCTTTTTATTGGTGGTTATTTCATTAAACATGATTGGCTTATATATATAATCTAATAAATTTTTTTACGTACTACATATCAGGTATATCAAACTTATACGTATGCTCTATGAGCGCACGTATAACCAAAAATTTAAATCATATTATACATAAAGTTTTATGATTTGGCTTTGATAACCGAAAATTTAAAACGTAATCGCATAAAGAGTTTCTTATCATATTATAAGTAATACAGTAGTTTTAATGCAGTGCACCAATTAAAAAATTCTAATAAACCAATTTTAATACGAAACCACCATTTTTTAACGGTATTCTACTCAAATCAAATGTTGATATTCTTTGTCTCTCTTTATTTTTTTTCCATAACCTTAGGTTTTTAATAGAACGAAACTACCATTTTTTAACATTATTCTACTCGAATCAAATGTTGCTATTCTTCATCCTTTATTTTTTTTCATAACCTTGGGTTTCTAATATTATCGTTTTGAATTCAAAAAAATATTCGTATTTTTTATATTTATAACGTCTATAACTTATAATTTTCAAAATTTTTTACTGACCAGAATAATGACAATTCGTTAAAGATCAGTATAAAAAAAATCTACGCTAAAACATAGTAAGTACGATCAACCTCTTTATAATAAGCTTTTTTATAATAAACGAGCTAAATTTTAAAAATTATAATAAATCTGTATAGAGAGAATCAACTGTATTCTATGTTTCTGTTATATCTTCAATTCATATCAGAAAAAATAGAAAACATTCAACGGTTGATGTGGAAGTTTTCAAAATAAATTTTACAAATGTACTGTATATACTGAAAAACATACTAAGTAAACTAGATCGATATTCTAAGTAAAAATGTTCAAGACCCACAAAAACCTCACGAGAACTGAAATCGGGACCTTATATTTAATATACATTATAATATACCGGGTTGGTTAAAAGTCCCTAAACAGGTTACTTTTTTGCTACCTTACTTATAAAATTATATACTCAACTAGGATCTTTTTATTAATCACTAAATGACGTATTGCAAATACAATACAGATTTATAAAAAAACTTTTATTATTAGCTAAGATAGCAAAAAGGTCTGTTTAGGAACTTTTAAACCCAGTATAAAAAAAAAATAAATCCTTAAAACTGTACTCTAATCCTAAATTTTAAGTTACATCACCCCTGGTCAGCGATAGCCTTTACATTATTAACGTTAATATCAGATATGATTACATTTTCGGGTAATGATTACCACATTCTGACGTAGTAAATTAGCATTACCACATTATTTGTAAATAGTCGTATGTCTTACTTTCTTGGTAATCAGGTTATTTTAAATAGTAGTTGTATATAAAAGGATTGCTATACGTAAAGAGAAGAGTGAATCTTATAAATCTTTAATAAGTTTTTGAACACACATAGCTCTTGTACATAATAAACATATTATATTTGCTCTCCCAACAACATAAAACTTACATTTTTTTAAGACCCTAATATTCACGGCTTAAAGCTAAATTGGTAATGAAGTTCATTAAGTCTCTCCCAAGCCGTGACAACAGTAATGTTAAATCAACATCTACGATGATCGACATAAAAAAATGGGTTGGTAAAATCAGTCTGTGGAAGATTCCCATCAAAAGAAATCTGCTTGAACTTTACAAAAGTTACTGAACCTAATAAACATGATCGAACAATACTTTGCCAAAAATATAATTATTGCAAAGAAGACTTTGTGACCAATTAAAAGATCATTCATTAAAATGTAAAAAAATTCCAAGAAATATATAAGGTTTATTAAAAACCCAATACACATTTCAAAACTTATTCAATTGGATTACATAGTGGCAATATTGGCTTTCAATACAAACAAACGTAAAACTAATATAGAATTCACATTTAAAAATATAACTTTAACTTTTTTAAAAATTAAAGCAATCAAATATTTAAATTTTTTTATTTTATTTTTTTTTTAAAATAAATTCAAAATTATATACATAATACCATCTTTTTTAAAAAAAATTTTAAAAAATTAAAGCAATCAAATATTTATTTTTTTTTAAGTAATATCTAATAAATTCGAAATTATATACATAACACAATCTTTTTTTAAGAAAATTTTTTTAGCTAAAAATTAAAATTAATTATTCAGAAGCAATATTTTCAGTTAATTACAAAAAAAAAATCAAAATAAATTTTTATTATTTTTACCTAACATCATGGATGATTGGAGTGTGATTTACAATTAGCAAATTATACCTTTATTTTTAGATTTTCTGACAACAATGTGACCGATTTAGTCAACTTCTAAACATAAATGAAATTATTATAAGTTAATATTCTTATGTGCCCCCTCCCCGCACCTAAGAATCATAACCATCCA